CAATCGTCGTTTGTTGGAAGACTGTGTAAACAGCTGTTTAATCTGCTTTTCTTGCACGTGCGTTAATGTCTCATTTCTATGCAAAAAGGTACGGTTATGTTCCATACATTCAAACAATAAAGCGCATTCGTTCGTTCGTTTATTAATTGATTCATTCATTCAATTCATCAAACAGTCATTCGTACATTCATTCCCCATTGGTCGTCCCATTTTTCCATTTTTTCACTTAGACATGTGGTCGAGAAGTTCATCAATGATTCATTTAATCCATTAATTCATTCATTTAATGAATCATTCTGTGGTCTGTTTAATCATACGTGGAATCAAAGAATGAATGTATTATTAGGTCAGTCAATCAACAAATTAATCATTCATTTCATTAATCGCTCTTTCTTTTAACCATTGCCTGACTTACTGATTCAATCAATCAGTCATTCCACCCCTGATTCATTTGTTCATCAGTTCATTCGTACATTCAATGTAATTAACAGTCATTATACATTTATTCGCCCATTTATAAACCCGTCTGTTTATGCAACCTTCGTTTATTTCTGTTCAAGCGGGAGAGGCAAATCCAATGGACCTTTTAATGATTCCTTTCCTTCTCGAACCACCTGGTTACCCGTTTTGCTACTACAATGTCTGCCAAATGGCTGTGTACGAATTCATCGTGATTCTTTCTTCGAATGTGTGTTCAAACTCTTGCAGTTGTGGTCTTTCAGACTGAAAGAGGATGTTCTACGTTCTTTTGATGTTTCCTGTTTTACGTAGGCAATCCCGAAGTCCTCTTCAAATTTTGAACTAGGAACAGTGGTAGATCCCCTCCCCCCAAAAACAAAGCGACCTGACTAATGCGACATCATGACAAAGCCATCGATTGCCGAGTGCGAGGCACAGACGGGACCTATGGCATACCCGTCGAATGATTTTATTTGCTTGTTTTGGAACCTGTTTGGCATTGACTCAAGCGAAGGGCGATTCGATGCGATTGCTTTCTGTCTCTCTGTCCATAGTTGGTCCAAAGATGGAACGCTGTTGGCCCGATTTCTTCCGTTTAGCCAGCTGTCCTACGCAAATAATCGGGCTAGCTACCTCCTTAGAGCCACAGATTCAAAAACTCAATAATGACTTGCCAATGTCGCATTCCAAGAAGGGGTAGGCAGTGCCCACAAACCTAAAATAACTTGACATATAGCTAACGGAAATTAGTAATCAAGCATTTAAATTTATACAAGAGTGGGATGTGCATTTTTGAACAGTATGCTGAAAATAGTTCAACCTTTACGCTGAGCCTGTGAACTATTTGCCATTTTAATTTTGGTTTTAATAATTCAACAAAGTCCCGTTAAAAAGCAGCTATGTAAAATTGCAGTTATTGCTTTCAGTTAATCAGTTGACCAACAACATTATGAAACTGTACTCCGAGATGTCCGAAGTACTGAGTGGTTTGCGAAAATCCTACGACAGTCAGCAGCATGTCGCACAAAAGGTATTCACCCTGAAACGAATGGATTCAAGCACTGAGGGAATCGCTTCACCTGGCATTTCGAAAACGAAAGCAAGAAATAAAGAGTACCTATTCGCTCCCTCCAACTGGATGGAACTGTCTGACACAACTAAAAGTTTATATACTAACGAAAGAAAGAACACCGAGGAACAAAAGAAATCATGTGACCACAGTAACCGGCCTCAAGGCGATGTGAAGTCATGGATACAACGACCAGCAGGAGAGAACCGCAGAACAAAGACGGTGGTCGCTACAGGTGAAGCAAACCACGTTTCGGCCACAGAAGATCATAGCTCAGACAGACAGGTCAAATTTTTACCGCGTGAGGTAGCGAACTCGCCCATACCTCATTCATCACGTCAAATTAGGCGGAAGAAAGCGGACCTGCAATCAGAAAGCACCAAGATTCCTGCGAACCCTGTTCGTCGAGTAGGGGTTTTAAAGTTGCCACTTTCGACCGTGTTGAGAACGGCTTCGAGGAATATAGAAGATCTGAAAGGGTTGTTCAACCGTGGTACAGGCCGCAAGTTTAAGCAATGGCCAGACTTTTGTCATTACATTGACTGCCCGGTATGCATTACGGTCATCGCCGGATCCAGAGCGTACAAAACAGGTGTTGTGGAGCGTTCGATTCGAGCGTCAAACCCCGGCCTCGGTCCGGGCTGCGGCCCTGAACGGTTTTCTGATGCGGCGGCTGCGATGTGGAAGACGACGCTAGGGTGTAATGGAACTACTGATCGTGTGCCGGTTCATTCAGCCGGACGACTTCAGGAGTACCGCCGTCGATTCTTCCATTGGATGAAAGCTTCGCTGCGACATCCCAGTAGCAGGCGTTTGCATCCATGGATACAAAACTACGTCAAATGCGGACCCTTCTAATCGATTATGGCATGTCTGAGAAGAGATGATTCGTCAATCAGACGATTCACTTTCGATGGCTGTGGGTTCAGCTTTATTTACCTCACTTGAAAAAGAAATAAAGTTTACTTTTTTATTTTTTGAGTTTATTAAACACCAATGAATGTAAAATTTTCGATACATCCATTTGGGAAAGTCAAGGCCTGAATTGGTCCTGGGTTCACCCGCGATTGACGGATGACACTCGGATCCTCCCATGGAGACCAGAAGTCCTCCAAAGTAGAATCTAACAGCTGAATGACATCAGAGCGAAAGTGGGACTGAAACTTGAAGAAGACCCAGGTTAAATTTAAAAATCACGTGACCCCGTCACTTAGGCTTGAAGAAATGCACAACTACGTTTTTGTGGGACGGTTCATCTCTGCAACGGAGAATCGACAATTTTTATCCATAAAACTGCCCTTGTGCTTGAAACAGTAAGTATTCGATCGGTTTCTGCTCTCAATACTAACCTGTGGGTACGAAGTGTCGACTGTAGGACAGAAGGCGATTCATTAACTGGAGACTACGAAACGCAGCATGCAAAAATATACGTAGGGAATAACAGGAAAAGATATGCAGACGAATGAACGAGTAACAACACAAACAAGTTCGCGATGTCTTTGCCTGAGTGAAGAGGTTCTCTTGGCAACGGGCAGTAAAAATCGATCATCGTTGGCCTGACAGATATTAGACCAAGTTCCAAGAGAAAAGAGAGACGACCCGTGGGAAGACCTTCAGATCGATTGACTGAAGGAGTTCGTTGGGTCAAGAAGCAGGAAAATGGCAAAACACATAAGTCTATGGTAAACTTTTAAAGAGGCCTTGATGCAACAGTGGAGGAAGGGCAGTAGTTCAGGGAAGGCAGTAGATGAGGGAAGACGATTCAGGATAAAGGTGGAGCAAAGGACGCTTACTTTAAAATGGCTCGTAATCGTCGTGCTTCACACAAATTGGCAAGGAATGACTTTTGAATCTCAGCAAAGGGATTCGTTCGGAACGTATGCAGCGTTCAGTATTTGAAATTTGCGTTGTTCGTACGTGGCATTTCATGTATCTGCCTCGTCAGTCAATCAATAGTCTATTTAGAGTTATGAGTATTCAAGTCTGGCGACAATTCTATATCCACACGTGGCTATGAGTGCTGGAATTTGTTCCGCCGATCCCAGGTACAATTAGTAAAAGGGTGGTTCGTTCGAAACACTGTTTGTGGACGAGGATTGGCGAGTTTCAAAACAACTTCGCAGAAGAGGCGCTCCTTTGGTAAAACGGGTAAAACTCAGTTCTTCGGAAAGTTACACGATTGGTTGCCAATCGCATAGACAGCGCTGGGGTCGTCGGATCGAGTATATTGAACGGTTGGCACTGTCGGGCCTTAGAATCTTAGGACCTTAGACATG